CCATTAGATATGTGATAAATTTTTTGAGTGTAGATTAGACACAAACCAACTCATAAATTTTGTACGCGTGTTCGTGGCTAGGATACATATTTTCCGCGAATACGGCGGCAGATGTCAGTTTTGTGTTATGATCAGAAATTTCTTTGTAATTTGTATGATCATTCATGTCGGTTTGTCGGTGGTATCATCAACAATCAATACGAAACTAACGATTTTAAATTGGCTCACTACTTGACTAGCCTATTGGTCCCTAGCAAACGATTAACATACCCCATTATAGTCAAAATTTTAGTACTACACAATGTTTGTTTTGATTCGCTATGAAAGTTTGACAGATAAAATGAGGGGTTAGCAACCGGTGAACACTCGTGTTTATTTCAGTTACCATGGAGACGTAATTTGTGATTAGCCCTGGTCCCTTTCAAATTGTATCATTATTTATGAACGGTTCTTATATTTGAAATGACGTTTCACATTCATCTAGTGATGTCCGATTTTCATTCGAATAATCGTTTAATCGATTAACGAACCGAAAAGTAAACTATTTATAATCGGTTACATCATGCCGATATAAGCATTAACATCACCACAGCAAGAGCAAATTTTCATTACGTCGAATGTAACAAAGGTAAACAAAGTCGAGCTATCAGTGTCAATCGATTCTCCTGCTATTACACTATATACTGTCCGAATATAGGATCAAATCCTATTTTTAAATTTATTTGCCAGTCAAATTGCTTTTTGACGTAATCACCTTCCGATCAAAATAGTTTTCGATGTTACTTAAGTCACCCAATTTCTATGGAGATGCCGTTTGACTTAAGTAACAGCGCTGAGAAACCCGTGAAAAGTGTACGTTCGTCGTTTCGCTTTCTCATTATTAAAGTGAATAAATCGAACTGTTTGTTGCTAAGATGATTTCGGTAGTCCTAAAATGATGAATGGGCTGCACGTAAGGAGATGTAATTGATAATTCTCCCGAATATCCTGGTAAATACACTTTGACTTAAGTAACAATAGGGGCCACCAAACGACGTATAATATCTTTTGACTCAAAAACCAGTATTTTTGAGCATGAAAGCTAGCGATTTGCATTTGTATGATTAAAACCCTGCTAAATATGTTAAACATTGCTATCACTATGAGATTATATGTGTTTACTTGGAAATAGGAATAACTTTTCGGTCATCAAAACAAAACTTTATTTTTCTCGGATTGGTGCGAATGTTACTTACGACATAATGAAAATTTGCTCTTGACAGGATCATCACCGATCGTTTCAAACATGTGCTGCACTCTCATTGGTATAAAAATGGCAGCACAGCGAACAAAAAATAATCGATTAGTTGTTAATCGAGTAATTAAAAAATGGAACATCTCTGATTTTGGTGTGATTGTTTTGATAAAAATGAGCGCAAAATTTCATCTCTTCCGAGGGGGCAGCACAACCACAAAATTACCTTGAATACGGGGGGTTATCATTGGATGAAAGGGACCGTGAAAGAAGGCACTAAAATAGAAAATTTTTCTTCCGACAGTTTCATCTTAGTATTCATCTTTGGGGTTAGTGTCACATGGGTTACATCGGGTTTTATGTCCAGCCAATGCCACTGTAGGACAACAGTTCTAGAGATACGTTGCAGTTAGAGCCCCTACTGACGGTTGAAACTTTCAGCTACCTCGTTTTGCTAAGGGTAATAAGCTACCGTTGGTTAAACTTGAATGCCTCGCTTCTTGTAGTAATTGCGTTGTACATTCGAGAAGAATTGGCGTTGACGAGAGCTCTGTAACTCTTTACTCCTATGGAGAAATCTCATATGTAACTGTCAGTCTATGTGTGAAACATGGCGGACTTTTTCTTATTCTCTCACTCCAACGCAAAACCCCATAAGGAACTGTCAAAATGTGTGTGAAGAAACGTCACTTCGGGACTGGTGTCAAGGCGAATTCCCGGCCTTGATTCACGGTGAGCTTACAGATTTTTGTCTGCCCAGTGCGCAAAACAGTCAGGTTCAATGAGTCATTTTCATATGAATATGAACTGCCATCTGCCTCATCATTCACTGCCTCGTGAGAGTCTGAATGATCGAGTCACTGACAGCCGAGCACTCAGTCAGTAGCTCAGTGAGCACGTTTATCCTTCCTTGATGGTACCCAATACTTGTTTTGAATGACTGAGCGTACATTTTCTATGGAAAAATGCCTCATTTACATGCTGTGTGAGCGAAGGCAAGCGGTGTGAGTTGCCTGTTCGTGAGTGACTGAATGTTTTTGTTGGCTCTTTCATTGCTTCGTCCTTTACCGTTTGGTACAAACGATCTGCACAGAGCAATGGATTGAATAGTGTAGTCATAGAGATAACTCTTAGCATTTGTAAACAAACCGTTCCAAAGCCCTTTACTCACAAAGCGAAGGTCACTCACGCAAATCAAAACCATCATCGGATATGGGAAACTTCCACCTTCACGACGATGGTGTTGGTTTGTCTAGGCTGTCTTCGATTTGTGAGGAATGGGCTTTGGAACGGTTTGTTTACAAATGCTGATGGGCCCTTTTCTACTGTTGATCCAGAAACGTGCTCAACTTTTTGGCTCAGCTCTGGTACTATCTCCGGTCCCAAGCTAATCGATGCACCCCTCGATACATAGGAAAATCCAACCCCTCATTTTATCTGATTTGTGCTTGATTGGATAGATTACGGCAAAATGCGTCCAGTCGTCAATAATGCGATCCATCCCATGCCGGCGGATCAATGGGGCCACAAAATCCTCGATAGGGCGGCACTGCGGCAGATTTGTCGGATTCCGGTCTTTTGGCACATATGGTATATTTTGACTTTCCGCCGTACTTCCGGATCATCCAGCGGCATTGTGGATGTCCATCCCAACAAACATTGGAAGCGGAATAAGAGCTTATTCAAACAAAAATATGCTTCTTCAGCTAAAAAATTGCTTATTCAGCCTTTAATCAGCACACATTGTTTGTTGGGATGTTCTCCGACCAGTGGTCCCATCGGGAAGTTCTTTCAAAAAATGTCTGGAGTTCTGACAATATTCTGCTATTTCTGGAATTTTTAAGACTCCAAAAGCTCCCAGGAAATCTCGGAATGTCGATACTTATTCCTCGTAGCTCCGTTGGTTCTTAATGTATTGAGAGTTTTTGGGTACTTTGGGTACGAAAATTCTCAAATTCAAATGAACTTCTAGCATTCTGAGATAGCCAAGAACTTAAAAAAAAACCTCAAGCCTCCATGTATTTCCGGAGATTCCGATGTTTCAGGAAAAAGCTGAACTGTGAAAACTTCTGATGGTTCTGAATTTCTATCAAGTAATGTTAATATTAACCCTTAAAAATCTAGTTAACTTCACTCTTGACTCGTTCACTCATAGAGTCTGAGCCTATTTGTCTGATTCGAAATATCGATTTTGCTCCACCAAATCAGGTCTTGATAATTCTCCAAATTTTTAGCTCATTTGGATCCGAACTCATACCAACACTACTCACTACTTGACTAGCCTATTGGTCCCAAGCAAATGATTAACGTACCCCATTCTTGTATAAATTCCAGTACTACACTACGTTTGTTTTGATTCGCTATGAAAGTTTGACCAAAGATGAATACTAAGATGAAACTGTCGGAAGAAAAACTTTCAATTTTAGTGTCCTCTTTCACGGTCCCTTTCATCCAATGAATACCCCCAGTATGCAAGGTAATTTAGTGGTTTAGCTGCCCCCTCGGCAAAGATGAAATTTTGCGCGCTTTTTTATCAAAACAATCACACCAAAATCAGAGATGTCCCATTTTTTAATTACTCGATTAACAACTAATCGAATATTTTTTGTTCGCTGTCCTGTCATTTTTCCACTAATGAGAGTGCAAAACTTGTTTGAAACGATCGGTAATGATCCTCTGAAGAAGTTAATGCTTATATCGGCATGATATAACCGATAACAAATATTTTACTGTTCGGTTCGTTAATCGATTAATCGATTATTCGAATGAAAATCGGCCATCACTATGAATGTGAAACGTCATTTCAAATATAAGGACCGTACATAAATAATGAAACAATTTGAAAGGGACCGGGGCTAATCACAAATTACGTCCGCACGGTAACTGAAATAAACACGAGTGTTCACCGGTTGGTTTGACAGCTAAAACGAGGGGCTAGTGGATTTTCCTATGTTTCGAGGGGTGAATCGATTAGCTTGGGACCGAAGATAGTACCAGAGCTGAGCCAAAAAGTTGAGCACGTTTCTTCGGGACTATGCTCATACTGCAGTTACTATAGGAAAAGTGAACTTTTTGTTCTCATCGTTCTAGCCCTTCGCCGTAGGTAATGATCTCGGGAAAGTGTGCTACCTGTAATGGGAGACTGGGAGGGGGAGTCTAAAATCTCTCAAAAAGTGTCCACGTAGTTTCTGAACAGTCCCTTGCTTTCGCCTTGATATCTGCCCAGATCAGCTTGTTTACTGGTTTCGTGTCCGCCCCTTCGAAGTGTGTGCCCAACCCACCTTCGCTTACATTCTCGAATTTCTGTAAATTTTTGGCTACTGGTTACATCAACTAATAGAGCTCGGCATTCGAGTTTCAATTGTGAGGTCACGAGACACTCTGAATTATATATCGTAGGCAACTTTTGAGTATCCTCCGCTGAATAGCAGCACAAATTGCACGTTGGAATTTAAAATTAAAATGTTGGTGCATTGACTAATCCTTCCACTACTTACAGAACTATAGAATTTCCGGCACATAAATAATCGCATAACCTCCAGCAACCCTTAAAACTCCTGGACATTTCAAGATATTCCTTCTTCCCAATCTTCCTCGACCACAAGAACCATTGCACAAACTCCCGGGACATTCCAAACGGCAGAACCCGTTTTAATCTGTTTGCTGCATATGAAGCCCACGTCCACAGGATACATCTTCTCACTTTCATTATTATAATTTACACGAACCACATTCGCAAACAATCCCCCCCAACGTCCGCATCTAGCCCGACGGGTAAGAAAATCGAAAGTAAACCCCAGCTGGCCCGAGCCCTCGGTGACACGATCGACCTGTCCACGTTCGACTACCAAGCCGGGCGGGTCGTTCCGAGTGCAACCCACATGATGCTTCAACATAATGCCCTCAAACGGAAGCTCAGCGTTACGCCGCCAACCGGATCGTCCAGCAGCAGCAGCAATCCAGCACCGGCTGGGCCCAATCTACCACCACCGGTTCCGATATACAACCAGCTACCGTCGGCAGGAAGGCCCCAACATCATCATCACCATCATCATCATCAGCAGTTCGATTACAGGTACCGGTCCGGCGACCGGATGTTGACTTTCTGCTTCCGTTTGATTTGATTTTGGGTTTTTTTTTCTGCATCGAAAATTGATCATAATTGGCTGAAGACATTTTTAGGACCTGCAGGAAAATTCCGCTGAGACGCGAAAAAGAAATTAATCTGAAAAATTTGCGATTGGTGATTTTCTGACATTGAAACGACCGGCAAAGCTATCGATTCTGTGTCAGTTCATATCGTTTCGTTGTTTCTTGAGAGCTTGTTTTGTTCCGGTTTCCGGCCAATAATGGTTTGTGTGTTTGGTCAATTTCAGTCGAGGAATGCGAGCGGACACTTCCCTCATACCACCGATCCGGCAAACGGCTTCCATTTTCAAACAACCGGTGACGGTTGTAAGATCGCAGGAGGGCGACAGCAAGGTCAAACGAGAACTACAGCACGGTTCCCAGGTGAAACCGAAGCAGTTATTTTGGGAAAAGCGCTTGGAGGTTGGTTTTTGGTCAAATTCTCGTAGTAATCTGAAACCAAGTTTGATTGCTTCTGCAGAATCTTCGCGCCAACAATACGTTCAACGAGGAGATCGGCGCACTGGAGCTTCCAAAGCGGCTGAAATCCGTGGGACCGGCTGTGAACGAGGCCACCGTCCTGCAGTCGCTGGCCACGGCTCTGCACAACAACACGCATCCGGTGACGGGTCAAACCGCGTCCAAAACGTCCCTCAACACCAACGCCGGGGTTTTTCTCAACCCGGACCAACCGCTGATGCACGTGACAACGGTGACCGAAGATGACATCAAGCGACAGGAGGAGCGGGTCCAGTTTGCGCGGCTGAGGCTGCAGGATGCGCTGCGTGCTTAGTTAGGATCAGAGGTAATCTCGGTGTGGTAAATTATTCCCTTAGGTGTAACGCGCTTTTCTACTACGTATGGAGTGAACATTTTCAACTTATTTCCGTGCATGGATGTGTGAAAGAATAAATCTCAACCTTTTAGTGATAACCGCGAGGGAGGGAGCATGCTAGGAGATATCACATCCTTATGGTAGATGTTGTTGCCGACGATTCGTAGAATTTGGCTAAACTGCCTTGACTTACAGTAGAAAACTCATAAGATTTCTAGATTCTGATATCTCATCAAACTTTCAAATTGTAGAACTCACAAATTTTTCCAAAGTACTTTTAAAGCTAAAATCCTTCTGTAACAGAACAACCGAAAGAACTGCTCATGTTCCAAAGAAGGGAAAATCTCTTTAAAATTATTATATTCGGGCTAGTGTTATAACCAATAGTGAATCTCTTCTTACAACTGCGACGTTACGAGCTTTATTCATCTACCTCCGCATCTTAATGCTAACTTATTTACTACACCAACTAACATTTTATACTGGTACTGTTGAATGCATGGACACAGGATTTGCTAGCTGCGAGCGAACAACATCGAAGAGTAAATTAGCGCCATCCCTCGCTCCCTCTTAGGTAGCACCCGCAGCGCTAGCCTTCTCTTTAGCACATTTCTTGATAATCCGCTGGAAGTTCCACTGGATCAACAATCCAACCAGCCGCAACGGTCCCAGCAGATAGAACTGCAGCACACATAGGACCGGTCCCTTCCAGGGTGACATGCCCACGCACAGGGTACTCAAAATCCAACTCTCCAGTCCCAGAATCGAGAAGAACGATCCCTTCAGCGCATCGTGAACAATGCGCTTGCCGACGTCCTCCGGCTTGGCCAACCCGCCCGAACCGGAAATGATCTTCGTTTCCAACGGTTTGGATTCATTTTCCCGCTCAAACCCTGGAGTGTCCGTATCGGCCGGAAGGGCCAGCGTCACGCTCACTCCACAGTGCTTCGATTCCATGGCGATCGTTTCGGCCAAACCTCGCAGGGCAAACTTGGACGCCGCATAGGCTCCGTATCCGTACAGGCCGATGAGGGCAGCTTGCGAAGCGGTAATGACTATGATGCCCTCTTTGGCTGCCTTCATCTTCGGTAGGACATAGCGTGTCGGGTAGTACGTGGCAAAGTAGTTGACGTCCATCATCAGCTTGGCGTCCTCGATGGATGTATCTTCCACCGTTCCGCAGATGGCCATCCCAGCGCAGTTAACCAGCATAAAGATCGGGCCAACGGAGGCTTCAATCTCCTCAAGACCTTTCTCCACACCGTCATAGCCTTTTGCCAGATCGATGGAACGATACTCTATCTTCTGATCCTCGCTGGTCTTATTCTTAATCAGTTGTTCTTTGGCTTTTTCTAAAACATATGAAATTACGTTACTTTAATGGACAACACCCCGCCCTCATTGTTTTTGACTAACCTAGTTGCTTAACATTCCGGGCCACGATGGTAACGTTAGCACCTTGGCGGACGCATTCGACTGCAGCCCACAGGCCGATTCCACTGGATCCGCCGGTTACGACTACATGCTTACCACGGATTTTGGTGCGGGTCTTTCGCGATACCAAATAGAAAATCAGTCCATGCACAAATACAATACCCAGAACCGTTAGGATGATCTCAATTTGATGATCCATGGTTGGGTGACACAATCGGAATGCGATGTTTACGTTCGATGATTGCCTGTGATAAGAGATAATTTCAAATATGAGATATCTTCCGTCAGCTCAGCTATGGATTCACTTCTTCAACTCACTTCAAGTTATGATTGTCACTGTTGTTTAAATATGTTTGGTGGGACTTGTGTTACATTACAAAAAAAGGTTCTGAAAAGTTAGCGATTGAGGTAAATTTTTCTAATCTAAAGGGTTTTCAAATCGAATGCTTTTGGTCGGCTTCCAAAAACATCGTCTCTGCCAAAAATGATAACGATTTTCTGACAGATGACCCCTCCCTTAATTTTGGGAGTTTTTCGTTCAGTGCATTCCTGGTGTTTGGCTGGCTGCGTTAGGGCATCTTTAGCGGCGGTCCAATTGGCTGGATTGGTTTAAATTTTTGGAACAGATTAATCACACTAATATTTGTTTACGGATACTGTAGTTTTTTACCGAATGTGGAACAGCTGAACATTCGGTAATATGTTCGGTAATTTGATTATTTACAATCCGTTCAGTAAATTTTCTTCGCCCTTGAGCTGTCAAAATTTACTGACCTGGGTTGTAAATTTTACAGAATGATTGGTAAAGTAAACAACACCGTTCGGTATTAATTGGCGCCCGCATAAACAATAACCATAAGATGCGCCTAACCACCAATTCGGGATATCATCCCAATTTTATGTGGTATGGTCGCACCATCTAAGATATCGTCAGTATATGGTACACGTTTATTAGGGCGTTGACGGCCCCGCGAAAAATTTGCTCTTCCAGCAAATATAGACAGTTTCTTATGGGAATTTTCGGTGTAGTGAAAGGATAGTACAAAGTCCGCCATGTTTCACGCACAGTTTGACGTTTGCTAATGGATTTTCTCATAGGAGTTACAGAGCCGCCGTCAACGCCAATTTTTACCGAAACGACTGTAAATTGTTTCCCTGAATGAACCAAAAATTATGAAATTTTTCATTGATTTCTATCGTGTGTTTTCTTCAAATGATGATTATACAAATAAAAACGGTTCGTTTGACTCAAGGTTTGACTCATAAAACGTTTATTTTTGTATATCACACCGGAGAACCGAAGTAAAATAAACTACGAAATGGAGGCAAATGCTGAGTTAGCAATTTAGATGAACTAAATTTACAAGTCAGTTCGATAATGTTTACAATAATCTGATATTGTTCGACGGTTTGTTTTTGTAAAAGATTATTTTTACAGTACATTCGCAAGTAATTTGAATTTGCAGTTTTTGGTATTTTTATGTAATTTAAGGGAATTCTCGCGTCACTTTTCAAAAGGTCCCAAGTAACAATTGTAAACAAATCGAGTTAAGCGATACAAACTATTGCTCTTCTATCATTGTATGTGATGCAAAAATACCCACCCAAATATACTTTCATTTATTTAAGATAATCATAGGTCAAAAAGTGTCCCAATGTCAAGGGGTAAGTCACTCAAAGTAGTGCCAAAAGTAGGTTCGGCACAGCTTGCACACATCTCTTGGCACACCTTCGGCACAATCTCGTAGGCATTGGATTGTTCATTAAATTAAATGGGAGCACTGGTGGACAGCTGTCCTTGAAGTTGTTCACAACATTACGTGCTGTTTGAGAGTATATTTCGGAAACATCTGAGGTCTGAGATCCTCTAGTATATTCAATTAGAGATATACTAGAGGATTTCAGACCAGCAATTCAGATCTCGGTTCACGGTTAAATTCGAAATATAGGCTTCCGAGGGCTGTCGATTGCTATCGATGCCGGTCACAAGTCTTTAAGCTACTACGCAAATGGAGTGTACTACGAACCGGAATGCAAGAACAATTTGGATGAATTACATCATGCAGTGGGGGCGCGGTTGGATACGGAAAACTCAAAGGAGAAGATTGCTGGTTAATCAAGAACTCCTGGTTCAACTACAGAGGCAACGTTGGATATGCTTTGATGGCGGCGATGGATAACAACCGATGCGATGTATGTAAATTTGAAGTGAAATTTCTGTGGAGATGGAATAAATGGTTTTCAATTGTTGTAACATTATATAAAAAAATGTAAGTTAATTAGGTTTGGTATTGTTCAAGTGAGTTTAATTTGGTAGATGACCAATTGACCGAGTGCTGGTGATTTGCTGCTGAAAAGGCCGAACTACTTTTCACAGCATAATCACACGAAATTTTTATTGCTTCCACTCAACCTAATTATTTTACAATTTTTAGACCGAATTTCACTGGTTGAGGTACTACGATCAAATACTCCTGGAACTCCAACCCTATGGTAAAACCGAACGTCTTAGCTTGTGATCCTCCTTCTTGGCATAATCTATTCCGACATCAAAAACCTCCTCAACAGTTCCTCTTCCAGATTGATCAGAAAGATGTAGTACTTCTGAATCGACTCCGTCGGATTGACCAGCAACGTCTGGACGACATTAGAGCAGTAGGACTTGTAACGTGCACCTATAGCACAGATGATCGATCCTGCAGATAGTTCTTGTCGCGTACTTGAATGCACTGATACTTGTTGAATACGTCAACCGTCCACCGTGTCGAAGCTGTTGTCCTTGACAAAGGCTCGCCACGATTTACAGAATTCACCCGGGAAGTAGTCCTTGGAGAAAAAGCCCAACGTTTTGCCATCCTTAGAGCAACCGTAACGGCCGTTGTCATTTGCGCGACTATTTTAACAGCGCACATCGCTCTCATTTTGGTTTAGTCACTCTTCTCCACACCGGTCGCTGCTATCGCGGTTATCAATTTACTCGCCGTAGTCCGTACCGGTATAGTGAGCATTTTGACATTTCTACGAACAGCAACCTTTCTCCCGCGCTGCTAAATTTGGTAACGCGCTTCTCACCGAGAATCCGACTGCTATTTTAGTTACTCGTATGGCAACCCCCGATACGGTAGCTGCGCTATGATGAGGGCTGCTAAAATGAGTTTAGCAGCGTACCGCTACGGTTGCTCTTAGATCCCTTGATCGCCTCCAGCAGGTTTTCAAAATTGACCTTGTCTTTGTCGTTCTTATCCCGAACCAACAGCTTCACCGACGGAATGCCCTCCTCATCGTCCTTCTCGATCTGCTTCCGGAAATCGACCTTCTTCTTGCTGGTCAGGAAAAAGATTGAATTTTCGCACAGCACCGTAATCGTATCGATCAGCTCGTAGCCAGGTCTTCAGTGAGGTTGATTTGCTGTAGATGGTTTCCTCGTCTACGCCGACCGCCGTCAGAATGCAATCCACCTTCTGCAGCGAATCATCATGGAAAAACTCTGGTTGCTTCCAGCCGTCGTAGAGACATTTTATTCGTCGGTAGAAGGAATCCTGAACGAGCACGATATTCGACATTTTCGAGGCCGTTGCGATTGCAAACCTATACCAGAGTCATATAAGCTTGAATCTCATATTGTGTAAAAATCCATAACCGTCGATTTAAATGCAATATTCAAGTAGCAATAATCAACCAGATGGCGCTAGACATTACTCTCATTGATCTGTAAGAAATTTGTTTTTGTTTTGATTTATTATTTCAAATGAATAAAGGAAATTCAGTGCCAACATTTCAAAGGGGCGTAATTGCATTTGTAAACAATGGCTTTAACCGTCGATTTCTCGCGAATAAAAGCTCACTCATGAAAAATAATGACACCAGCGGGTAGAGGAATGTTTCCTCTACCAGCTAGCATTGTAATTTTGGAGAGGTAAGATTTCATTCGCCAGAAATTGACGGCTAAAGTCATTGTTTACAAAAGCAATTACGCCCCTTTGAAATGTTGGCACTGAATTATTATCGAGATGGGAAGAAAATGTGAGTTTTTTACTATGATGGAAACAATCAAAGGAGCCCTGGAAAACTCGGAACAGTGTCATTTTACAGTTTTCCGAATTGCAGTGCACTGTAAGTTATGGAATATTTTTTACGATACATTGATCTTCTTTCTTCTTCTTCGCATTTCAAGCTTATTGCATATCGCATATTAGCTTATTGCGTGCTCTCAACTTAGTGTTCTAGATGCACTTCCACAGTTATTCCTCATGAGAGCTTTCGATGCCTGTACCATTTTTGCATTGGTATAATTGTGTGGCAAGTCCAATCATACTTCTATGCCCAGGGAAGTCGAGAAATTTTCCAACCCGAAAAATTCCTAGACCGGACCGGGAATTGAACCCAGCAACCTCCAGCATGGTCTTGCTTTGTAGCTGCGCCTTTACCGACTGAGCTAAGGGAGGCCCCACGATACATTGATGATCCTAACAAAAAAATAATTTCTGTCTGCGCCTAAACATTCAAGCTGTCAGAAATACTGGGTTGCCAAATAACTAGTTCACGGTTTGCAGATGAAGTTTATTCCTTGATCACTGTAGATTTCCAGTGGAGCTGCTCTCAGTGTAATAAATCGCCTTATCGCCATTTTGCAGGTTTCTGTCGACAAGCCTGTGACAACCTCCAAATGACCTGCTCTAATCGTCAGACACATAAACAGCGCCTCTTAACTTCACTGCGACCTCGACTGCGACCTTGCTTGACAAGTAGAGGTTCAAAACAATCGATTTCAATGTAACTGAATTCTCGAATATCACGTGCTTCAGGAAGTGGAGCCATCATAGGTTTGTTTGGGGTTCCTTGGTAAACCTTACACCACATGCAGTTTTTCTTGATTTTCCGATACACTCAGTTTGACCATAGAGGTAAAGACCAGAAGGTCCTGAAGAAACGAGCTCAACTTTTTGGCTCAGCTCTGGTACTATCTTCGGTCCCAAGCTAATCGATGCACGCCTCGAAACATTGGAAAATCCACGAACTCCTCATTTTATCTGTCAAACTTTCATAGCGAATCAAAACAAACATAGTGTAGTACTAGAATTTATACTAGAATGGGATACGTTAATCGATTTGCATGGGACCAATAAGCTAGTCAAGTAGTGAGCCAATTTAAAATCGTTAGTTTCGTATTGATTGTTGCTGATACTCTTTATGAGGTACTTTCAGGTTTCGTTCCATTATTGGGATTTCCTCTCCGTGCAATTATCATTGGATTAATCGGCAGACAGTTTCTTCCGCTTGCATGTTCGTTTTAGTCGAACCACTGTGGCTTTTCTATCAATTGCTTGCACTCCCATTTAGAAAATCTCTTGAAGTCAAACAACTTTGGAGACAATCTGTGTACATTTTTGTGAGTAGTACCAACAATCAATACGAAACTAACGATTT